AGCAGCGCACGAGGGTGAACTCGATTCTTATGTCCCTGCCTGCCCGTCCCCCGCCCAGGGCCACTCCACCTTAGTTCCTGGAGTTTTGGAATCTATTTGGCACCAGTTTGTGCAAATGTTCGTAATATTTATGTTTCCCCAAATTCTACCTGAGTATTTTGATCACTGATTCTTCCACACAACATTTATAATCTTTTTTCAGGTTTCAAAGGAAAGAAAAGTTAGGAAAGTTTGGGTTGGAAGCACAGCAGGCCTGTCAGCGGCTGGAGTGGGCCGATGCCCTGGGCCGTGGGCCTCTCCCGGGAGCGAGGGTGCGCGGCCCCCCCGGTGCCAGCCTTCTTGCATCTGCCTCTGTAAAACGTTTCTCCCCGCTCCCTTCCAAGGCACTGGCTCAGGAAGGCTTCCCAGTCGGGGAGGACTGATGTTACATGGCCCGGTTTCAATCAAGTGTGGAATCCCCAGGCTCTAGGAGGAGGGAGGAGGTGAGAGGTTAATCTCAGGTTGGGGTGATCAGATGCTTGCGTCTCTCCTGGAAGCCCTTGCTTCCAGGGAGGTCCTGTAAGAAACTTCCGACATCAGAGCCTCCGGTGACCCTGCAGTCACGGAGCCATAGGACACGCTCAGTGTCTTGGCAGCATCAGTAAAACCTTACTTTAAAGTCTGGACACTGATCTCTGCAAACTCTATGGGACCAGGTGGCAGCCTTCAGTGGTCAAATGTCCCAACTGAAGGAAGAAAACATGACCTTAAGCTACTGGTGGAAACAAAGGAAAGAGCCATGAAAAGTGAAGCAGCTGTGCCGGGAAACCGTGCTGGGCGGGGTGCTCGCTGCCTTGCGTCTCTGGTGAATTCGGGGCTGGGAAACTCCAGGAGCGCTTGCTTGTTTCCTGGGCATCGCTGAGCTCCCTCTGCCGTCCTTCCAACCCCCTGATAAAATAAGGCCTTGTGCGCCACACACCCATTTGAAGTTCAGGAAGGTGACTCCCAGTGTTTCATGGGAATGTTGTGAGGAGCGAGAGTTGTCCTGGGAAACCAGTTGGGAGATAGTTCCGTTTTCCAGATGGGATATGATGGTGCTGTGAGCTTGTTGGAGGGAAGGCAACAGAGTCTAGATATATATTTAATTTTTGTAGCATGAAATAAAAGGGTCTCTCTTCTGTGCATACAGTCCTGAAGAGCAGCATCTTGACTTAATATCTGGGTGTTCACAAGCCCTGAAGCTCCAGAATGAGAACTGGAGGTGAGGGTGACGCACCACGTCTGGCTGTCTGGCTTCTCAGGCCCTCTGTCTGCAGGGACCTGCTGCGGACCACGGAGGATCATAGTCTGAAATACGTGGATGGAGACATCCTCGGGGCCCTTGTCTCCACAACAAACGTCGCGAGAAACCTCTTTCCCCTTCAGAATGCCGTGCGACTGTGCATCGGGCGGCTGCCACTGACGGAGCTCTCAGCACAGAGTGCGCCACACAGCCAGTGGCACGGAGCCACGACCCTCCAGACATGTGGTTTGGATAAACAAAGCCCCATGTGCAAATTAACCATGGTTGACTGTAACTCCTGCTCCCCACTCCCCAGGGAGGGGCTCTCGTGAAACTCCCCATCGCAGAAAGCAATACACATCCGACAGTCGTGCGCACAGCATGGTTTAGACAAATGCTAAGCCTCATTTAATGCTTTCATGGTGCCAGAACACAATGGCACCAACCTGTCTAGAAAAAGTTGTAGCTCGGTGCCAGTTTCCTGTAAATAGTAACTGTACCCCTACCGGCTTCCACGCTGTGGGCTCCAAGGCCAGAGATGCCTTTTATTTGTCATCACCTTGCTTCCACTTCCTGCATCTGGACGTCAGACACACGCAGCCCTCTCTGAACAAATGCCCTCCACTTTCACTGTGGTTCTGCCCTTCCCCAGACCCATGCTCGGCTTGTCTGCAGCGGAGGAGCCCCTCTGCTGGGGCCCACAGGGCTGAGCTCATCCATCCGCTTTAAGAGTGGGCAGTAAAGGGCTCCTTGCTTCCCATATTCTACAGGAGAAACTCTTCGGGACAGGACCCTATTTGTGTGAGGTCCTCGGACCCTTCGTTGGCACGTGGACTGCGTGAACTTGGTTTGATAATAAAGAACATACTGTTTGCTTTTCATAACACATGTGCATCACTGTACAAAGGAAAGAGCAAAATAAATAACCGGAGCGAGGGGTGTCCTACGTGGCTTGGACACTTGTACTGGACTTTTCTCAAAGAAAAAGTAATCCGCAAAACAGCTGGCTAACTATATACCTGCTTTTTCCTCCTTGTCTTTAGTGGCTTTTCAGATGTACATTATATGTTTAATTCTCCTTCCTCCATACACACACCTTGTAAAAATTAAAATTGGAGCCCATCATGTAATGACCCACCTGGGAGAGGGCATGGACAGGCGGCCCAGACACAGAGGGCTCTGCAGTGTCAGATGACTCTTCAAGGGTTAAGAGCGTACGATTTATTACTCTTGAGGTTTATTATTTTATTAGCTGACCAAATAGTTTACATATATACCAAGAACAAATTCCCCTCCATGCGATGAGCAGAGGAATGATCGTCAGGCTCAGATGTTCAGAGCGTGGCTCCCAGGAGCCTAAAGGGGCCTGAGTCTCTAATGTCCTCTCTCGGAAACCCCAGGCATCCACTTCCAGAGCAGCGAGCTCACCCCCGGTGGGGTGATTTCTGTGAGCTCCAGGCAAGTGGCGGAGACCTTTCTTCTTGCGAAGGCTGGGTTGGCAGCAGGTCGCCCCGCCCCGCCCACTCCTCCGTGACTCATTGACGTGTATCCTTGCTGTCATTTTCACATCTCATTTCCAACTCTCTGAAGTGAAGACTCCTGAGTCACTCTCTGTCACTTTAGTTTGGCCAAACAGTAATGGGGCAGGACAGGGCAGAGCTAATGGACCCACCAAAGCCACTTACCTGGATTCAGTCACCCACATCAACTCCATTCAATTCAGCAAACATCCCCGACCCTCCTAGGAATGGTCCCTGTGCTGAGCCCTGCAGAAAATGTGGAAAGGGGTGCTTTCCTCTGGAAGTTCCAGTCTGGAGAGGAAGACATTCAGGGATAATCCTGGCGGCAGAGAGGCAGCAATGGGAGGGACAGGAGGACCTAAAGGAGGGAAGAGTCAACTCTCATTGGCACTGGGGGCAGACAGTTGGGAACTGGGCATTCCTCCTCCAGGGCCTTCTCAGGTTTTCCCAAATCTAGAAAGGTTAAGGGCCGGGTGTTAGGTCTCAATCCTACTTTTCTCTTTCCATCTTAGGATTCAAGTGGAAATGTCTCCAGTTGAAAACAATAGCTGGCCGCATGCATATGTCTAAGCCCTTCCCCAGTGTGGGCTCCAACATGCACTGCGTGTGCCTCGTTTTGCGTGTATGTAAAACAGACCATACCTGCCCATAAGGAGGGGTTTCACATTTAGTGTGTAACATGTTCCACGTGCACTGGAGGTGCACTCAGGCAGGTTGTGGGGGTCTCTCAGGGTGCACAGCACTGGTGAGGAGAGTGAGGACCCTGGTCCCAGCAGACGGGAACCGAGGTCCACGCAGCGCCGGACACTCTCATTGTTTACATTTAGGCTGTTCTCTGTGACCTCTGTTGTTTCTGTAGTTGCCTCAAAGGGCAGAGGTGCACGCCCGGCCTTTGTTGAACTTTCAGTCCTAGCATTTTGGGTGCTGCTAAGGGTCCACCAAAGCCCAGCCCCTCGCCTTCCTGGCTCAGCTGGACTGCAGCTCCCAGTGGCCTTTGCAGTGAGGCGCGGCCAGTGACCAAGGTGAGCTAATGGCAAGGAAGAGGAAGAGCAGTGCTTCTGGGGCAGCCCAGAACCCCAGGACCCAGGGACCGCTCCCCTTCCTCATCAGACAGCTGAACGGGGAGGATGCTAGGCCGTGCGGCTGATTAAATTTAAATTAACAAAAGTTTGAAAAAATGAGGGACAAGGAAATGTCAGTTCCATGTACTCCTGGCTCCTGCCCTTCCCCAAACCAATGAAATGAAAAAAGTGAAGTTGAACTAGGAGATTCCCTGGCTCTGCCCGCGCCTGGGGCTTGGGTGGGACCCAGTGGGAGCAGGGCCGTCCGCGACCGTCCCGCCTCACTGCCCACCGCCCGCCGCGCTCCTCGCCCAGGGCACCTCTGAGGCGCGGGCACTAGGGTCCGAGTCCCGCCTGCGCTGCTTGCTGCGTGATCAGCCTTCCCGCTGAGTGCTTCTGGGCCCCAGTCCCTCTCCCCACGCGGCCGCCGCTCCCGCCTCAGGGCCTGTTTCGCAGGAAGGGCGCAGGTCCCGCAGCCTGGCCCCAGGCCCGTCTCTCCAGCTGTGCCTCAGGCGGCTGCGAGCGAGCCCAGCACCCCTTATTGAAAAGGCCGTGTTTCCCAACAGCGACGCACCTTGGCATCCGCACCTCCCTGAAAGATTAATTCACCATATATTTGTGGGTAGATTTTAAAGATGGGGGACCACCAGCAGGAGTTGTCTGAAGAAAGAATCCTTATTTGAGATCCCCCTGAGTCTCTGTCAAGGGCTCTGTGGACTATGAAAACAGGAACAATTATGGTGTAAATGGACTTTGAAAATAGCAATAATTAGGTAATTAAAAATGTACTTTGGTTTCATTATGGTGTCCATAAAATTCCACCGTCGAAAAACAAACTATTTTAGCATATTTTACTTACTATAACTCATGTAATTGTGATTTTTATGTTCCACCTAGTTATGCAATTAAGGAGTACATGCTATTCCCTACAGTTGAGCATGGCTGAAGTCGGCACCCGTTTGGAACACAGAGTATGATATATTTAACAACTTTTTATGCTAAACAGTAGACAGTTAGCATTATATTCATTTAATTCCATTTAATTCCATTTTAATTAGTGGAATAATATTTTTAGGGTGAATTTTGTCCTAACTGGAGCGGCATATGGCTTAACGTAGTTTCTTCCAAACTTTGAGTCTGCAGCTGGCTGATGTCCCCACAGAAGAACCGGTCGGAGGCGGGGCTGCGAGTAGCAGGTAACTCACCTTCCAGTTCTCCCCCAGAGCCCCCCTCGGGGAAACCCATTCTCGTGACACTGGTTCCTGGGCACCTCCCCACGTGTCCTCTCAAAGGGTGAACGCTGGTGAGTTCACAGATTGTTCTCCAAGCCTTCCCGAAGCTGAGACAGGGAGGGACAGACCCATTGTTCCAGGTGCCTGCCACTTTGGTCACAGGCAGCCTGAGATTCCCCATTTGACCACCTCAGCTCCCTCAACCCTGGCCCCCTCGCTCCCACACCCGACCCTGGGTCCCACATCCCACCCTGGGCCCCAGGCTCCCACATCTGACCCTGGGCCCCACACTCCCACACCCGACCCTGGGTCCCACATCCCACCCTGGGGTCCACGCTCCCACATCCCACCCTGGGCCCCACGCTCCCACACCCGACCCTGGCCCCCGTGGTTCCACATCTGATCCTGGCCCCATCGTCCTACACCTGCCTGCTGGGGCTCCGAGAGCCCAGCTTGGCTGGTACTGTCCAGTGGTTTGAGGACGGAGGAGGCCATGCTTGAGGTCTGCTCTTGGGTGTGGACAGGGACTCAACTCAGCATCGGGACAGCCGTCACTGCCCCTCTGTCAAACTGGCCATGACAGAGCCAGGGTGAGGGGTGCTTCCTGCTTGCCAGGCACGAGCCCATAGGATTACTAATCCTGCGGACCCTGTCCCCTCACTCTACAGAGAAGAGGACAGGTGTGGGGTGGACATTTGCTGCTTTGTCTGCAGAGAAGCCAAGTTCTCTTTAATGATGCCATCTTGATCCCCTTGCCTCGCCCGTCCCACACAGTTACCGTGGGCTACAAGCGAGACCTTCCCTGCCAAGTGACACCAGCCAGGCAGTTGGACTCCTTTTCCCGGAGCAGAGATGGGGAATGGTGGGTGCTCATCCTGGCAGGAGGTCAGGGAGCCGCACCCTTGCCAAGACCCCCACCCAGCCTTGGCTCTGTTTCCCTAAGTGACCTGGATCCTGCTCAGATGAGCTAGACTCCATTTCTGCTGCTCAAGACCCAAGAACCCTGTGTGAGAGGGATTTCCATTCCACACCCCCTCATTAGAGGAGGCCTGAGCGCCTTCTCTGTGGGCAAGGGCGACAGAGGCTCTGGAATCAGCAGGGGCTTGGTCATTGCACTCAGGGCAATGATTTTGGACCAAGGAGCTTGTCCAGGGCCAGCACAGGGCTACCCCGCGGCCTGGTGACCAAGGCAGGGGCCACACGCTGTGCGGCGTTTTCACCTGAGCACTTCCTGCAGCACTGCCCTGGGGTGGGTCAGTGATTCTTCCTCCCCTGCGCAGGACACCAGGGGAGGAGCACCAAGTGTTCCCAGCACACGAGCAACCTCCTCAGGATCCCTCCACCCAGCTGACCAGCCTGCGCTGTCCTGGGACGTTGTGATGGGCAATTTATTGCAGTCAAAGGAAACCCCAGTGGCAAATCAGGAGACTTGCCAAATTCCATCATGGTCTTAGATAAACCAGACCTCCTCTGAGTCTCAGTTTCTCTATGTAAATTGGGCAGTAGCTGGGGTGATCCCAGGGCCCTTTTGTTCTGACGCTTTCTAAACACCTGTCCGGCGAAGCCCCCGCAACGCAGAGAGAGAGCCGCTGCTCCCTGCGACCTGCAGGCTCTGAGCCGCACAGAAACGGTTACACTTTGCAGCACTTCCAACGCTGATAAAAAATGTTGTAATTCTAATAAAAAAATCAAGCAGGTATGAATAGCAACAAAATTGCTCAAAATTTGTTCAAACTGAAGGGAAACAATTGGAAATGGATTCGGAAATAAATGTTTAGCTAAGCAAGCTAAAACGTTGTGTTATTTTAATCAGCATTGTAAAATAGTTTAAATGATGCAGGAGGAGAATTTCATACTTTCACATATAATCATTTTTTTCAGTACATTCATCAAGGTGCCTCCATTTCCGACTCCTTGGTGAGCACCGGCCTCTGCTGCCCCGCCCAGGTCGGGAGGTTTTCTGATGGGACTTGCTCTCCACTCTCTCCTTCCAGTCTCACAGAAAAATTCCTGTAAATTTGGAAGAAAACTGGTGGTGATAAATGTTTCAAAGATTTACAATAATCCAGGACATTTCCTCACTACTCTCTCTTTTTAGCACCAGAAAGTTGAAATAGCTCAGAGGTTGTCTGAGTAGCTCACGGCCTCAGGCCCTTGAAAGGAAGAAACAGGAAGGTGCCTCTTTGTAAAAATCTCCAGGGACAGGTGAGTCCCCTCGCCCACAGCCATCTTGTCTGGTAAATAGATGTCTATTGATAACTGAAGGTTTTGCTAAATAAATGCTAAAGGTTCCTTCCTGTTACTGAGTTTGTGCCTGCTGTTTTCAAATGACCCTTCAGGAGAGTTCTCTTTGAAGTCGCTTGGCGTAGCTGCGCTCTAAGTGCTTGCCAGGCCCTCCTTCCCTCGAGAGACAGGGAGAGGGTTGAGGTTAGCTGGCCTTCCCGGGGGCAGAGGGGCAGCCGGGCCCTGGGTGCGCTCGCCCTTGGAGGGTGTGGTCTTGTTGGTGGACAAACAGCAACTTCACCACCTTCCCTGTGCGTCTCTCTGGCTTTGCTTTACGCAGCTTCCTCCACTATCTTTCCATCCAACTCCTAAAGCTGTCACGTGGACCTACTGGGTGCAGGTGAAGAGAGCGCACCCCATGGACCTGGTTCACTGCCCTGCGAGTCAGTCTGCAGGCTGCAGAGGGCAGAGGGGGGCCTTCCTCACTCCGGGCTCCTAGCTCCCCACTTTTCCTTTAATATAAGATTTTTACCTTTAAACTCCAGAGGCTCAGAGGCGTCCCTGGCCCGCAGCCTGCGCCGGCAGAACTGGAGGCTGTGCCGAGCCGGCTTCCTCAGCCCTGGGGCAGGGAGGCCAAGGAAGGCATTTTTCCTGGCTTCTAATTCTGCTCCGCCTGTTGCTAATGTCACTTTCACTCTCGGTTGGGAAGACTCGTTATGACGTGCGGTGACGAGCTAGGGTCGGCGCCACTCCCACCCAGGAAATTCCTGCTTCAATACCAGTGGCCCCTCCCTGTCCACGCAGGACGCTCAGCGCCGCGGGTCCCTGCTTACTACCCGAGGGACCTGCAGGAATACAGCTTAATTAGCAAATAAAAGAACGTGATCCTGTCCCATGATATATTCACACACGTAAAGATGTATGCGTTGGCTGAGGGTAAAAATAAGTCTCATGCGGCTACTAAGCAAGTGGGGGCGGGCGAGGCTGCGTCTCCCGCCTGTGGGGAAGGAACCAGCCCCGGGCTTCCTCTTCCCGGGGCCTCAGAGGCAGCACATGCACTGTTCCCTCCACAAGTATTTCATGCGTGATAATGTAAAAACAAACAATTTTTAGGCCAAAAGGTGTTTTAACAAGAACAAACTCCTTTATCCTGGTGCTGTCTCTGTGCCACAGGGCCCAGCAGGGAGGAGGGCACTAGGCCTCAGTGACATCGTAGGCGTCAAAAGACAGCTTTTCCAGCAATTCTTTTTAAACAGGAATTAAATCCCCATTTTAAAAGATGATTGCAACAAGGTAGAAAACATTTTTTTGTCTTCCTTTCTTAGCACCGGCCACCTCTCCCCTCTTACATATGCATAAAATGTACAAAGCTAATTTTGAATGTGCCCTTTGTGCTATGTCACAGCCGCAATATCGCGTTCAGAGTGTAATTAAAGGTTTCCCTGGATTTATGGGACTCCATCATTATCAATAGGGTTAGGAACGCCAGGAGACCCGTTGCCAGAAGGCTCTCTCAGCAGTTTCTGGAGCATGAGAGCGCAGACATTACTGCCGTGCTCAACAGTGGCTGTCGGCGCTAATATATGGCCCTTTATTAGGAAGGGACACCAAGACACCCAGTCAGACTGCTTCCCTGCCCCTCACGGCCTCCTGTCGGGTGGAGGTGGAGAGAGCGTAGGAGCGGCGGAGACCTTGGCTCCCTCTGCGCGGGCTGCCGACCTCATGGACCCCATAGCAAAGGCGCAGCCATATTAGGAGGGTCACTGTGCCCAGTGACCACCGAGGACAGACACTTTACTCTGTTCCCCCTCCCCAGGCCCAGGTTTGCCTGGCTCTCCTTTCCAGCTCCCTCGGGGAGGGCCCCCCCATCACACTCACTTTCCACCTGCTGTCCTTCCTGCCTGTTCCGCTTAAGAGTAGTGATTCTGGGAAAGCAGGTCTCGGGACCATGCCCACAGTGAGCTTTCCTTACTGTGGTCATCCGTATTTCAGGGCAGAACAAGCCACAGAAGGCCACTTCTAAGGAAACACACTTTTCCCAAACCTCGTCAGCAGGCCTGGGTCCTGCAGAAGGACTCCCTGTCTCCAGGCTGGGTAGGAACACACAGGTGACAAGGTTGTCATATGACAGAGCCTGCATGCTGAGGACAGCTGGGACCTTGGCCTCTGTAGACAGTGCTCCTTTCTTTCTAGTTCCTGCTTTTATTGGTCAGAGTTCTGGTCTCTAGAGAAACAGAACCAATAGGGTACATATCGATGATAGATGGACAGATAGACAATTGATAGATAGATGATAGATGATAGATAGATAGATAGATAGATAGATGATAGATAGATATCCTGATAGACTGATACAGATGACAGATGAGAGAGATGATAGACAGATAGATACACACACATATACACACACATGCTTACGTACATAGATATATAGAATTATTTTAAGATATTGGCTCACGTGACTTGGAGCTTCGCATATCCAAAAGTCTTCCTGGCAGAGCCAGTGGCTGGAGACCAGGCGCCCTCAGGCCTTGAGTTTGGCAAATGACCTCATGCACTCTCCCAGCTGGCCCCACAGCTCTGGTGCAAGAGTGATTATTTGGGGAGGTGTTTACACAGTTTGAACCCAACTCTCCCCAGAGCCTCTGGAGAAGACCGTTCCATCGAGATTGTTGCTTGTACTGTGGGTGGAGACTGAGTGCTTACACTGGGGAGGTCGCCGAGCCTTATCCCACTCTCAG